CACAAATAAATAGAAAAGGTAATTTATATAAAAAATTAAAAATTAACTAGTATAATTTTATCAAATATTCAATTAAATTTGTCACATGACATTGAGTTTGAAATATTTTTATTTACTTTTGTAGTAATTTCTTATATAATTATTTGTTTAAAAACACCACAATACATATTTAAACTATATCGTTTTAATAAAATACCATGAGAAAGAACCAAAACCACTTTAATTTATACTTTAAAAATAAAGTTTTTAAATTTTTTTCATGACAATATACTTAAATGAGATAATTTTAAAATAATTTTTTTATAATTTTTAAGAGATAAAACAAACATATATATATATATTTTACTACTGTGATATGTGTATTTTTTATCCAAAAGGAAAAGGCGGCAAAAGCCATATCTAATGAGATCTAATTACTAATAATGAGATTGGTAAGGTTTGAAGAAATTAGAAAGATATTACGTTGGGTTGGGTTTGGTACCTTTAGCTTCATCTTTTTCTTCCGTGGACCTACCAACCCATCTTACAATCTTTAAATTTTCTTCCTTCTACTTTGACATTAATGTGAAGTGTAACGTGGTAATCAAGGAAGAAACAATCAAAGGAATAATAATTGAGGAGTACCATCAGTGATTGCATAAATTGTATTAGATCGTTTTCCCATATTGACTTGCCTTTTTTATTTGCTTGAGTTTAGGCAAAATATTAGTCATTAGTTTGTATATAAAGATTGTGTACTGTATAGCCTATTTACTCAATTAATTGAATATTCACATATTCTTTTATCATCACACAGAAATTATCATGGTATCAAAGTGCTAGGTTGCTGCAAGATTTTGTTGCAACTTGTGATAGCAAGGCTTTGCTGTAATTGACACTCAAAACATGGTTGATGAAGACTCCACAACAAAGGTCATCTCTCGAAAGATAGAGGGATCTTGACTCACCATATTACTTGCATCCGAGTGATGATTCTGGAAGAATCTTGGTGACATCTTCTCTGATCGGGGACAACTACCATACATGGAAGAGAGCATTGCAAAATGCTTTGTACGCCAAAAACAAAATGGGATTTGTGGATGGCACACTCAAGAAGTCAGCCACGAATTCACAAGAATTTCAAGCTTGGAAAAAGTGTAACTCCATGGTTCTTTCATGGATGTTAAACACCATACCTTGAGAACTCCATGATAGTGTTGCATACATTGATAATGCATGAGAAGTTTGGACAGATTTGCAGGAGCGCTTTTCACAGGGAAATACAACCAGAGTGCATGAATTGAAGCATGAATTGGCTACTATTACCCAACAGACCAGGTCAATTGTAGCATATTTCACTAAGTTGAAGCCGATCTGGGATGAATCGCAAGCATATAAGCCAATACCAGTGTGCTCTTGTAGCTACACTTGTGGGGCCACAAAGTAATATGGTAAAGCCTGAGAAACAGAAAAAGTCCATCAATTTTTTATGGGATGAAATGAAAACTTTTCTACTTTGTACTCTCAAATTTTGAATACGGAATTTATAACCCTCTTTGAATAAAGTGTATGCCATGGTTACAAAAGAAGAGAAACAACAAGCAGTAGCTACTTCTCGGGGACCAACAATTGAAGCAATAGCCCTAGTGACAAAGACAAGCATCCATGGTCGGCCAACTTCTTTTCGAAAACTACATTGTGATCATTGCAAGAAAGTGGGGCAAATCAAAGAAAGATGCTTTGAAATCATTGGCTACCCTGCACATTGGAAACCTATAGGCAATAAAGGAAAAGGTAGAGTGATGGGCAGAGAAATCAAAACCAAGAAAAGGGGTTAATCTTTGCAACCAACATAAGCCAAGACTCAATAGGCATGGGAGGTGCATCAGGCTAATCTCTAATATCCGGACTGTCCAAGGAGCAATATGATCAACTCATCAAACTTTTTGGTGGTAATTTAGTCACTTATCATTTGGCAAACTTGGTTGGTAAGATGCAAATTACACCCTCTTCTTGGATTATTGATAATGGAGCATCAAACCATATGACACCAAATTTATCTAAACTTACTAAAGCCAAGCCTTATACCTTCCCAGTCTACATACCAAGTCAAATAAAGCGGAAGGAAAGCGTGTCTTTCAAAGTGTGGCATTAAAGGCTCGATTACATTTTTGTAGATCGATTATCCAAAATCCCTTCCTTATGTTCTTGCCCATCCAATATTAAGCATGTTTGTAATGTTTGTCACAAAGCTAAGCAAACAACATAACCATTTCCTATTAGTAAGAATGTTTCTAATTGTATATTTGCCTTAATACATTATGATATTTGGGGTAGATATGCTACTTCTTCTTTTACTTGTGCACATTATTTTTTGACTATTGTAGATGATTTTTCTCATTGCACATGAGTTTACCTTCTAAAACACAAGTTTGAAGTAACTTTATATTTAGTGAATTTTTGTAACAAGGTTGAAACTCAATTTGAAACTCATGTTCAATAGATATGCAGTGGTAATGGGAAGGAATTCACTAGGGGCCTTGTGAAAGATTTTTTTCAAAAAAGGGAATCCTGCAACAAACATCATGTGTCAACACACCACAACAAATGGGGTAGTTGAACGTAAGCATCGCCATTTGCTTGAGGTCGAACAAGCTTTATGTTTTCAAGCCAACCTACCTCTAAAATTTTGGGGTGAGTGAATACTTATAGCCTCTTATTTGATTAATTTAACCCCCACTTCAGTTCTTTTCGAACTCACTCCTTTTCAAAAGCTTTTTTAAAAGGCACTATGCTATGATCATTTAAGAGTTTTTGGATGTCTTGTTATGCTCATAGTCATTCTAAAGATCGTCCTAAATTTGATTCTAGAGCATCAAAATGTGTGTTCATTGGTTACCTTTTTGGAAAACGTGGTTAAAGTTGTATGATTTTGAAACCAATCAAACTTTTATTTCTAGAGATGTCATTTTTCATGAAGAGATTTTTCCATACAAAACACCTAAGGCACAGGAACAAACCTTGGCATTATCTAATCCAAGTGTCAAAGACTCATTATTTGAAGAACCATCCTTAATGGATAAAGTTGTTGACAAAACAACAAAAGAATCTCATTTCTTTGAAAATGTTGAAATGACATTAGGTGAGAGTCTTGAGCCTGTGGAAAACAATATGCAATCCACAACCCAATTGGAGTTTACCATAGATCTTGCTGCCTAACCATCGTAACCTGTAAGGCCACAGTGTGAACAACATGCACCTAAATGCCTTAAGGATTTCATCTGCGACATGCCCCCATCAGTTGATCCTAGGAAAACTCCATTCCATTCAGCAAATGCAGGTATACTTTATCCTATTTCTAACCATCTATCATATGAATCTTTCTCACCCAATCATATAGCCTTTCTTGCGAACATCATTTCCAATGATGAGCCTCATTCATTTTTGCAAGCCATTAAGAATGAAAAGTGGAGAGAAACAATGAAGAAAGAGATCATTACCCTTAAGGAGAATGGCAGTTGGACACTTAAGCCTTTACCTCCTAATAAATGAGCTATTGATTCGAAATAGGTCTACAAGATTAAGTACAAATCATATGGTTCGATCGAACGCTATAAGGCAAGACTTGTGGCCAAAGGTGTTACACAAATTGAAGGCTTGGACTACCATGAAACATTCACCCTTGTTGTGAAGTTGGTAATTGTAAGAGTACTTTTGGCACTTGCTTCCAAGCGTTGGGAACTACACCAACTTGATGTGAACAATGCTTTTTTGCAAGCTGATTTGCAAGAGGATATGTACATGGATATTCCAGAACGATTTACTTGTTGGAATAGTAATATAGAGTGTTGATTACGGAAGTCATTCTATGGACTATAATAGGCCTCTCACAATTGGTTTGAGAAGTTCACCAACTATTTAAAGGTTCCAGGTTTTGTTCAATCACTTGTTGATTATTCACTGTTTACCTCTAGTCATAATCATAGCTTCATTGTAGTTTTAATATACGTGGACAACCTCATTATCATTGGCAATGATACCACAAGAATTAATATTCTGAAGAAGTATTTGCACATAAAGTTCTCCATAAAAGATCTTGGGCCTTTGAAATACTTCCTTGGAATTGAGGTGGCATGTACCACTTAAGGAATTGTCTTAAGTCAAAGACAATATGCCCTTGACATCGTCATTGAAATAGGGACTATTGGAGCTTGACCAAGCCCTTTTCCTACAGAGCAGCGTCACCAATTACATTTTGCCACAAGTTCACTTTTTTTGAATCTTGCTCAATATCGAAGATTAGTGGGGCATCTCTTATATTTGACAACCACAAGACCAGATATTTGTTATTTTGTGAGCATACTTACACAATTTATGCAAAACTTGAGGCAAAAGCATCATGAAGTAGCCATGAGAGTATTACGATACATCAAGTCCTCACTTAGATAGGGTATTCTCCTACCCTCTACAAGTCCAATGTACCTACAGCTTATTGTGATGCCGATTGGGCAGGATGTCCCATTACTAGACATTCCACAATTGTGTATTTTATCTATCTCGGCAACTCACCCATTTGATGGAAATCCAAGAAGCAAGCAACAGTTTCCAAGTCTTCTATAGAGGCTGAATATAAAGCAATAGCAATGACTGTGAGTGAATTGATATGGTTAAAATTCTTGCTTCGTGATCTTGGAATAGATCTACGACAACCAATGACATTATTCTGCAACAATCAAGCGGCCTTACATATAGCTACTAATCTAGTCTTCCATGAGCAAATCAAACATATTGAAATAGATTGCCACTTTGTTCGTGAAAGAATACAGAGGAAAGAACTCCTTACCAAGCATGTTTCGTCCCAACAACAAACAGAAGATATGTTTACTAAGGCCTTGGGGCGTGAACGTTTCTCCTTGCTTCTATCCAAGTTGGGCATTTGAGATCTTCATGCTCCAACCTAAGGGAGAGTATAAGGCGATAATCAAGGAAGAAACAATCAAAGGAATAATAATTGAGGAATATTATCAATAATTGCATAGATTGTATCATATCGTTTTCCCATATTGACTTGCCTTTTCTATTTGCTTGAGTTTAGGCTAAATATTAGTCATTAGTCTGTATATAAAGATTGTGTACTGTACAGCTTATTTACTTAATCAATTGAATCTTCACATATTCTTCTATCACTACACAGAAATTATCATGAACCCACCCCACCCCTACCCTATCATACCCAAATAATGAGAGTTACATTACACTACATTTTATGTTCAAGTCTATTCATCCATACCATATTCCATATATATATATATATATATTTTACATGGCATAAGCAATAAGCAACCACTGTTTTGTTATTATTAGTCTTAAATTGGGTATCTAAAGCACTTTTATTTTTGTACACATGGGCCTGAGGGGCTTGGAGAGAATGAGCCCACCACAAAGCAAAATAAGTTCATTTCCGTTCTCGGCTCCCAAGCAGGGAGATGCTGTGTGGAGGTTGGACTTGGATTTTGAGAGTCTCTCTCTCTCTCCTCTCTATTGCAAGCAATTGCTCTCCTATCTCTCTGACTCTCTCTCCATCTTGCCGTAAGTCTCGCAATTGCAATTGGACAATTGCTGATGCTAAATTGGTAAAACATTTTGTTCTTTTTCGCACACTATTTATCTTCCTGTGTCCTCACCCTGAATCGACATTATTTGGTTCGGCAAATCTCTGGCAGCTTAAATATACTGCAATCTTATTGCCTCTTTTTAGTGTCTAAATTTTGCTAAATTAGATTCGATTTAAAGATTTAACCCAACTCACTCACTGTGGGCTGAGTTTTTGGTTAAAGGTATTAGCAAAAAGTAAGATATAACTCAATAAAAACCCACTCGGCTGGACACATTTGCCAGTATTCTTATTGAAAAATTGAATCCTTTTCCTGAAAAAAGTTATATTCTAACTCTGGAATCAAAATCTGCAAAAGTGAACCGAATCTTATAAATTCGAAAGGCAAGACTCTTATTTTCCTTTACTTACAGAAAACCATATACACAATTCATTTTTCACCATAGATGGTTGAGGTTCACCACTTTTTAGATAAAAAAAAATGTTAATTTTTTTTTTTAAAATAAAAATTAAATAAATCTAATAAGGTATTTATAGTTGTGTGAAAGTTGATCTCAATTAGAATATGTTCATCCGAATCATCCCGTTTGCAGGCCAAAAGATGCAGAAATGGCCAAAAAAAAAAAAAAAAAGTTGCGAGAGACGTTCTGCTTCACAGATTGGGTGATGAACCCTAAGGAATGCATAATTAAGGATTTGTGATGTGATTCTGTTTTTATTGAATGTTTTGCGAGGTTGGAGTAGCCTTGTATTCCTTACTAGAAATATCTTTGTTTTCTTGCATGCTTTTCAAGAAGAAGAAGAAGAATTAAAAAAAAAAAAAATTAAACCTCTAATTTGATCCCTCAACTATTATATTAATTTTTAATTTGATCATTAAACTAAAAATTTATCTAATTTGATCTCTATAATTTATTAATTTGATCCTAAGTTGATCCTTTCAATAAAAAATAATTGTCGTATCTGTTATTTAATGGTTACAAATTATGTTAATAATAAGACATGTTATCTATTTTTGTACAAGAAGACCAATTTAAAATTAAATTAGTAAATAATAGGGACCAAATCAATGTTTTTTTTTTTTTT